GTACGCTCAATTTTGTCCTGAAATCTTGTGACCTCGCTCTGTCGCGGATTGCGTCTCAGTAATCCCTAAAGGGAAATATGTGTGAACCTTCCCTAACCGGTGGGGGATTCATTTAGTCTGTAAACAACTTTGGCCGATAACGGACCCCCGAAATCGGTGGGTGTGCCTACCCAAAAAATAGTAGTTTTTAATTTATATTTAATTGTTTGTGTGTTGTGTGTCGTCATAATAAATGTTTAAAACGAAAAATAAGGACTGATAATTGAAAACTGAATACGCAACCAATTCACAACACGCTCTCCAAGCTAGGCACATGATCTCTTACTAAAAACACTCTTTCATGTACTTTGTTTCCTAATAGTGAAAAATAAAAGACGAATGTTGGATCGCGCACGGGAAAAAAATCTAGGTTCAAAGCGGATTTTCTGACTGTCAAGTGGTCATGGGTGATTGCCCACCCCTGATATAGATCACTACTAAGGCTTTTGCTTGTACACCCTTCATAGAGAATGAACTTTTTACATTTTCAATTTAAAGGGACATGGCACGATTTAAGCAAAAAATTTTAATTTAAGGATTTTCAAATTTTTTTGGTTGCCTCCTATGTGTGTATACCATGTAAAACAGATTTTATGCTCGAAATTTCATAAAAAAAAAGTAGACATTTAATTTTTTAAGAAAAAAAACTTAAAATTTGTGAAGTGATTTTAAATGCTACTCCACCTACAAAAATTAACGTACACGCATGAAAAATTTGATTTACACGTACGCCGAAGTATGTATAACAAAAGTTGGTATGGGATTTGTGACAACATGATTAGTATTCGTACAAAACTTCTATTTATGAATGCTTCTTGAAAATTCCATAAAAAATGTATAAATTCTGAGTTCAATTATTTTTAAAAAAAATAAGTATTGCTTTGATTCAAAAATGCATACCAACTTTAGTTACATGTACTATTAGCAATAAGTATAAAAAAAAAATTAAAAAAAAATTCAAAGCATTAGGCACAATAGGAAAAAAGCATTAGCATTTTCAATGAAGACATACAAGTTATTTTATCTTTCTGAGATAAGTACGTTTAAAGTTTTGATTTGCCATAGAGATGTGAATAAAAACAAACGTAAAAACTATCATAATTCTGTGTTTCTTAAGTTTAGAGCTTTCTAATTTTAAGGTCATAGAAAAGTATATAAAGAATAATTTAGGCTAAAAAAAATTAGACTTGATTTTTTGGCCGATTTTTGCCAATTGAATCGTACTGTGTCCCCTTAATTTGAATCTCTCCTTCAATTCTAAAAATATGTTCCCTTTTATATTTTAGGTACACATTTTAAATTTCTTTTGAATATATATTTCGGTTTTTTCATATTCTATTTATATTTGCTGAACACTAGTTTCATATTAATAGACAGTTTTTCCCCTCAGATATTAATTTTCATTTGTAAGTCGAACTTCAAACTTTGCAATAAGTATTTATTTCAAACCTATTTTATAAGTTAAAATTTTTTTTATTTCGAGCAGGTAAGCATATTTTCAATGTTTTTCTACAAAAGTTTCCACAAAAGAGTTTGCCTTTAATATCCGTAACAAGAGTTCTCTAAAATTAAAATTCGAATTTTCATGTTATATAAAACGGAAATGTTAATTGAGATTTTATAGTATTAATGAAGCAGGGGTATATTTAATTTATTTTATTCTAAATCTTTTGTTGCATCAATCAGATTATAACTGTTGAGTGTTCGAATACCTAAATATTTAGAAATTCACACAATCTAAGTTAAAACAGAAATAAATGCATAAAAAATAAGAGAACACAAACTTTCTTAAAACATTGAAAATACAGTGATCACGGCAGCTCGAACTGAACCATCAAAGTAACTGGACTATCGAATTAACAAATTATTTAAATAAATCGAAATTAGTCAACAATAGTGTTTGTACTGCTGTGTAAATTGTACTATAAATGACTCAATAAAGCTGAAACTAAAATGGTACCAAGCGAGTATTGTATTAAGCCACTTCAAGGGCGTTTCTCCTGTAAAATCCGCGATATTTAACTTTACTTTGCTAACATTTAAGGAAAGTTCGAAATATAGAGATCTATAGTACAAACTTGAAGTGAAAAAAGAAACGCTGAAAATAATCAGAAACTTTCCATTTAAATATACTTGACCAACTTTAAACAAGGATTAACAAAAAAAATGTATTCTTTGCTGTAATTACTATCAATTTTTGAATTAAGGTATCCAACTACCCTAAAATTGTGAATTTTGCCAAAAAAATGATAAATTCTTTTTTATGATTTTATTTTGTAAGCCATCTTATTATAGCTTAAAATACCTAGTTTATAATATTCCCTTCACTGGAACAAAAACTATTAGTGTTTTAGTAAAAGCAGATGCCATTACTTTAAGCAAGATAATATGTCATACTTTAAAACGCGTTTTACTCGAAATGAGTTTTTTTTAAATGCCCAAACAGCCAGCGATTATTCAAAAAGTTTTGAAAATAGTTAACTGAAATTTTTTTGTATATATTTCATATAATAGTAGAAGTGTTTTAATCTTCAGATTTATCAGTCACTGTTTTATTACAAAATTTACAGTCCTTATGTTAATATAATTACTGTTTTTTTAAGCAATTTCATATAATAACCAAGATAAAGTGCTCTAGTTTTTGTAAAAAAAATTAAAATATCTCTTATCTTGAAGGTCATTTCAAAAATGAATAACATAGCAACATATCAGAATTGAAAAGTTGAAAATTTGTTCTTAAACCTTTGGTACAGACTAGACCGTGTTTATGTTTTTTTGTTGTTGTTTTTTGTGCAAATTTTTACTTATTTTAGTAATAATAATTTCTTTTTCTTTCTTACTTTTAGCATATTTTTTAAAAATGTACTAAACAAATCTAAAAACAACAAAAAAGTCACCATATCTCCATTTTTTTCCAAAAAAAAGTGGTCGCAAGTAGTCGGATACCTAAATGAAGTAAATATAATCTTATCAATATTATATTTTAGATAAATATGCAAAACCATTGAATAAAGAATTATCTGTTTTTGATCTATCATTAAACATATTTTGCATATTAATATCAATCTAAAAATAGTTCTCATTCTCCTAGGAAATATATATATATTGGTATTCGTTTATTTTTAGTACCTGAAAATACTTTTAGCAATAATTGACAAGTTAAAAATACTTTCAATAAAATTAACAAATTTTATATTCAAATAGCTCGTTTGTATTCCTATTACATAAAATATTTTATAAATAGAAAAATTTGTTATTCATCTAGGAGTAATTACGTAGGCAGGCTAAATAAGAGCGGTAAACACAAAGAAGTGATTGGAATTCATATTTCCAATAAAAGCAATCACCACACGTTTAGAATTAATTACCGAACATTAACTTAACAGTATTTCTCCCTCTTGTAAATGGTTTATTAATACTTTTTAAAAAAGTAATCAACTCGGAAAATGACCCTCATAAAAATTTACAATGATGACCAAGTAACAGAGTACAATTAAAAACAATCAAAAACTCCTACATTAGAATCCTTCAGGATCCCGGAACAATAAGAAAGTGCAACAAAAACTAAACAAAATAAACACATACATCAAATCTTTAATCCTTTAAAAGCTAATTGCGCATGCTTTGCTAATTAAGTATAAAAAGCAATTTCCTCGGGTCTTAAACAGAAAGTGCTAAAGGGGGAAAAAAGTTAACCGAAGCCAGTTAGTTATTGTTCGCAAGAAACCAGCTTAGAAACCCAACAGATGAGACTTAATCCAATAAAAGGAGCACAAAAATCGATCGAGTGATGGCTTAAAGAAGAAATATTAAGTTCAAGTCAGAGCGCATGAAATAAATAATTAAATTCACTCAAGTCTGTCAGTTGAGCTCATAAAAATGTGATCCACGAAATACGGCAGAGAGAAATGGCGCATAGCTTTATGACAAAATGCAGTACTAACATCTCAAATTACAACCCATGAGCCTGCGGAAGCACGTACTTGATAATTACTTCGACATTAAAATAATTGAATCAACGGTTCATTCTGTGGTAACAGAGATATTTTTAGGTGCCTAATCTGGATCAAGAAGGTATATTTGTCTAAATTACGTAAAACAGAATGTAAAATGTGTTATTGTTAAAGAAGAATTTTATTTCTCATCCATTCTTTACCAGCATGATGGGTTTTATACATTGATATGATGCATGCAACATATTTAAACTGCATGTTTTAAAACAGAATATTTTAAAATGGTTCATTGAATAAACAATTAAAAGTTGCAATTTTAGGTTGTAAATTATTATCGGTAATGTAAATTATCCAGCGCCGAAGTTATAAGTACCGAAAGAGAATTTATAAATCCTTTGTCTTCAAAGTAAGTAAAGGTAAGAATATTTAACTATGCAATAATATTTTCATGAGAATTTTAAGTAATTTTTCAATTTTCTGATGTTATAAGATATTAAGCATAGTTCTAGAAACGTATATCATTGAATGGAAAAAATTTCAGGAAAAAATAGAAAATAATAGCATTTTTTGAAGGAAAGTAGAAATCGACAACGGAGATCAATACATATGGATATTTCGAGTTCTCAAAATCGAAGGTGGAGAACTTTTACATCGTTGAAGCTTATTGTAATTTAACCTCGTCACATAAAATAAATTCTACTTGAGAAGAAAACTCGACTAGTTTTTGATATGATTAGTTTTGTAAAAATCAGTCTTATTCATTATTCAATTCTTACTATTAGTTCCCTTGTATATATATGTATATCTTGTTCAAATTTTCAATCGTTAATAAAATGCTTTCTGTTCATCCATTCGAGTTCAAACACATTTTTTTAACTTATAGTGGATGACACTTGATGTTAATACAGCTTTTTTAAATACTAATTCATTAATTAAATTAAAAATGAATAAATAGTAACAAAAATTTTTTTTGTCCAACAGCATATAGAAAGTAAAATCGTTCATTGTGTCTCTGTATTGCAAGGGATTGCGCGTTGAACTTCTAATCCAAAGGTCGTGGGTTTGAATCCCATCTGGGACGGCCTAATTTCTGAAAATGTGATTTCTTTTTTACTATACTATTTTATTAGAATAAATAAATTTAATTAATGAATAAATAGTAAACAAAAAAAATAGTCCAACAACATATATAGAAAGAAAAATGGAAAATTCCAAGGAAAATCGCTTTCTATTTTGTCACTTAATATTGCGATTCTGTCATATGTATATACACATTTATATTAATTGTAACTATTTAATAAAAAGTAACTAAAATAAACTTTTTCTTTTTTGACCTAAGTAAGAAATTGACTTAAATATTTGTTATTATATTACTTGTTTTTAAAATCAATTAGTGTTACTTAACAGTAAAGCATGATTAGTAGTTAGAAATTTCTTTCAGCACAAATCGGAAGAACTAATATAATAGTGAAATGAAATAAGATACGAGTAACACTTTAATAAAGTATTCATCATAATTAAGAATTTTGATTTCAGTCGCTAATCAGATAGCATTATTTCAATAATTTTTATTTTAAATATAACGAAAGTTAAGCAAAAATTAAAAGTTGCAAAAAGGGGAAAAAATCACTATGAACTTTAAAAAAAACCCGCACCTTAACAATTTTATGCATTTAAAAATCCTTATTTCATAATTTATAAAACTGCATGTGGATCCTTGAATTTCTACAAATTTCCAGCTCCAAACAAAATAATTTATTTTAATATACTGCAAAAAGCGCATATTAATTATTTAGTAATGTTCCGTTCTTGAAAAACAATGATTAATATTCAAATTGAATATATACAATTATAACTTTAATGTATTCTATTTTTTATCAATTTTAAAGATGATCATTTTACCTTTCAACAAAGTATTAACGATGACATTTAAAATTTGTCAGATTCCCCCCCCCCCCCTCTATTACCCGAAATTTTCGACTGAGTTGTAGGTTAACTTTCAAAAGAAATATACCTCTCCCAATTTAACAGTTCCATTTAAATTATTGTAAACCTTGTGTGAAAAGTTAAACTATATAATTTAATGACTGCTTCATTATATGTTTATCAAATTTAATCTTTGAACATGGCCTTCTCCAAAATTGCATTAACAAAATTTTGGATTCTGTACATTCTCTTCAAATGAAATCATGTTAAAATATCGTTTATAATATTTAACGAAAGTAGCTGTGTTGTTCATATTTTTATACAAGAGCGAATATAATTTTGATGAAGATATTTTTTTTGTAACGTGAAATATCAATACAACATTAATATTAATAGTTAGATTATGCTATTCACATAAAACTTTTGATAGTATAAAATGTAATATTTTAACCAAAAATTATATAATTTAGGATATCTAAAGAAATACTTCTCACTGTAAGTCTTGTTCTTATCATTCAAAATTTTTGAAAGAAAGTTATCATAGATGCGATGAAATAGAAGTATGAAATATATATTACACATATAGAAAAATTTGCGTATACCTTTTCACTGATATGTATTTGTAAATCCATAATAGCCATTTGTATTTATCATGTTCAATTGAGGGTTAAAAATGAATTTCCATATAAAATGAGATTAAAGGTGATATTTCTCAAAATATAACTATCAGATTTAACTATCAATACAATTCTGATATTTTTTTTTCTTAAATTTTGAGTTTGTTTTCGCAAAATAAGTATTTTATTTATCAGCATTTATTAATAATTCTCAATAAATATTGTTTAAGTTTTTTCCTTAAAATATTTTTGATTTAAAAAAAAATTATACAAATAAATATTGCTTTTTTTTAAATGTGTGTATATATATATAAATTAAATGCTTTAAATATAAAAATTTGTACATAAAGCATTTTAAAAAGAAGATTCATAAGATATATCATGCCAAAAATCAACTTAAAAAGATATATTGCAAAGTTTCTTTTAAAAAAAATATAGTTACGTATTTGGGAATGAAAACGGAAAAACGGCATTCTGCATAATTAAATTTTTAATATTACACATCCAAGCATTTTATCTTTTATCACGTTATTTTTTATCTTTTGTGTAACGTTATTTTGCCTGATAAGTTATGATATCAGTTTTTCATGTAAAAATTCTTAAATAAAATTTATCTGTGTAAATAAAGCAATTCAGTACAAAGATAATCAAATGCATATAAATTTATCGAATGACATGGTTTAAAAACATCAATATATAAGAATGATTTCGTTTATTATATACTGCTTTAACTTTCTGTTCAGAAAAGATTATCTGACATTTTTCGACAACAAAGAAAAAAAATGAGAATATATTACAATTTTTAGATTAGATCCACTTCCAAATGTTAGCTTACTTTAATGAAAATTTTTTAAACACAAAGAAATTACAGATCATTTAATAGGTAGATAATTATATATTTATTAAATATTTGTTACTTATAATTAAATGAGAGAAAAAACATGTATTAAAAATGAACATGAAAAAACAACGGTGCCAAGAACTTCATGGTAGCAATTATAATTCAGTTAAATAAACATACAGTAGACCAGAAAAGTGTTCGTACACTTGCAATTTCCGAAAAATTTAATGTTTTCGACTAATAAAAATTAATACATTGGAATCGTAATTTTTTTATGATATCTGTAACTCTTTCTTAATGGAATGACATAATCAATTTTTTAAAAATAGTATAACTATTGTTTTTAAAAATTAATAATCAAAAAGCTACAGAAAAATTACGCCACAAAAGCCTTCGTACACTTAACAAAAATCTCAACATAGCTTTAAATATTGTATTTCTTTCTTGATTTAGTACTTAGTAGGATATATTTTAGTGTCCACAACTTTTAAACGTCTTGGAATAGATTTAATCAGTTTTTTGTAATATCTGCATCGATTCTCCTCTATGCTTCTGTGATTGTTTTTACTTCCCATTATGTGTTTAAATGTCATGTTTTCTTTTTTTTTAAAAAATCAAATTCTGATTCATTAAAAATCAAATTCTGATTCATTAAAAATCAAATTCTCACAAAATATGTTCAACTGGGCTAAATAAACAGATTGAGGAGGTGTTTTCAGAATTTTAGGACAGTTATAGAGACACCAGTGGCGTAAGAGCAGTGCGCTTGGCGTCATTATACTGTTAAAAAATAAAGTCGCCTTCAATATCCAAATTTTGGGTGGATAATTTAAAATTTCTCTTTAAAATATTTAAATAGAGCTCATGATCACAATACTATCAAAAAATACCAAATTACCTAATTTTGAGGCCTATTTACATCCCCTCGCAAGAACACACCCACCTCCATACTGAAGCATGGAGGTGGAGGAGTTCTTTTTCCATATTAATTCATGGGATTAAATTACTTATTTTTTCATTTACAAACTATTATATGCCCATTCAGAACCAAAAATATTTAATTTTCTGTCATACCAATCAATTTACTGTCAATTTTGAATTTTCTGAAACTTAATACCAAGAATCCAGTTGGAGGAAGGAAGTGTTCTTGCATGGGGGGAGGTGGAGGGTGAATCGGCCTCAAAACTAGGTAATTTTGAATTTTTTGATGGTATTATAAATCATGAGTTCTATTTAAATATTTTGAAGAGAAATTTTAAATTATCCAAACAAAATTTGGATATTGAAGACGACTTTATTTTTAACACGATAATAAGGCTAAGCGTACTGCTCTCAATGTACGCCGCTGGAGTCTCTATATCTGTCCCAAAATTCTGAAAACACCTCCTCAATCAGTTTATTTAGCCCTGTTGAACATATTTGGTTAGAATTTGATTTTTAAAAAAAATAAGAAAACATGACATATAAACACATAATGGGAAGTAAAAACAATCACAGAAGCATGGAGGAAAATCGATGCAGAAATTACAAAAAAAAACCTGATTCAATCTATACGAAAACGTTTAAAAGTTGTTGCGAGGACTAAACGATATCCTACTAAGTACTAAATTAAGAAAGAAATGCAATATTTAAAACTATGTTGAGATTTTTGGGCGTAATTTTTTAGTGGTTTTTTTATTATTAATTTTTAAAAACAATAGTTATACTATTTTTAAAAAAAGTAATTATGTCCTCCCATTAAGAACAAGTTGCAGATATCGTAAAAAATTCCAATTCCAATATATTAATTTTTATTAACTTAATAAAAACTTAAATTTATATAAATTTTTAAGTCGAAAACATTAAATTTTATAAGAAATTGCAAGTATACAAACACTTTTGTGGTCCACAGTATATCTAAAAATTAAATAGTCTTAATTTACATTTCAGCAGGCATTAATTTTTCAAGAGAAATCAATAAATCAAAATATCAAATCTATATTGAACTTAGTTAACTACACTCACTTCCAAAAGTTAAGCACGGTAAGGAAAATGCTAATTTCCGGAAGCCAATCAGAATTGAAGAGGATGCAATTCGCTGCAGAGGTAGATGGAAGTATGCAAATATGTTAGGTAACAGCCAATCGTGCTTTCATGTCAAGAAATATGCAAAAAGGGTAGTCTTATAAGAAGCCAGCTTTATGAAGGGTTACAGAAGTTGAATGTAAGTGCTGATTGAAGGTGTTTAAAACTTTCGTACAATTTGTTTTCAAGACATACGTGTTTCTGTGATTTCCAGAAAACGAATGGAAGATTCTGAGCGCTGGCGTGCTGTGGGACGCATTGAAGCAGGACAGTCGATCACAAATGTTGCTCTTTTCCTTCGGCGTTCATCATTCTGTAACTTCACGTTTATGGAAACAATTCCAAACCAAACAGACAGTTGTCCGAAGGCCCGTAGGCGGTCGCACAAGGGTTACAACTCCCACGGAAAATCGATATATTGCTATTGTAGCCAAGCGGAATCGCAGAGCGACCTCCACACGTGTGACATCTATAGTTACAGCGTCCATTGGTAAGGCTATGTCTGCAGCTACTGTACGCCGAAGATTACAAATGAATGGACTGTATGCCCAGGTACCTCGAGTTTGTGCTCCTCTATCCGTCCAATCAAGAGGGGCACGATTAAAGTGGTGCCAGGAATATGGCAATTGGACT